ACCCCCCCCCCCCCCCCACCCAAAAAAAAACACCCAACAACTGTGAGCTAGATGAACACAACAAGGGTATAAGCTATTACCCCACGAGCAATGGTAATAATTTATACATTATAGAAACATTTATACAGGCCAAGCGCTCCACACCTATTAAGGAACACATGCTCTGGGGAGGGGGAGGGGAGCTTTACAAATATATAAGTAGCAACACGTAAACAGTGCATTGTGCTCTGAGTAAAAATGTAGATAATATGTTTTTAAATCTAAAAGCAGAAACAACTAGAGCTGACATTTGAATGTATTAAAAACACTGGATCTCTCTTAAATAGTGTGTCCAAGTCAAAATGACTTGCCCTGGTTTTGCACTCTGTGAGCTCCACAATTTCTAAGAGGTGAAAACAGTAAGCTTATGTAAATTGTTGAACATTAAGTGTAACTCTTTTTTTTTAAATAATGAAATAACCTTTGCGCCGCTTTACGTAATAGTTTTTTCTAGGAGTAGAATATTTCCCCTCTATTCACATTGTGATACTGCATATAGATTGTGCTTCCCTTATTAATACACTTCTGTATCAATTTCAGCAGAATTTCTTAGGCTCATTTTTTTCTCTCCTGTTTTCAACCTTTAATCAAATCGCCATTCGGTGCTGCTTTCTCTAATTACACCCCCGGGGTGCGCATTTCGCCAACAGCAGCTGGTCGCTGCACCAGCAAAAACGTCTCTGTAATAGGAGGTAAATGTCAGTTGGTTGAAACGTTAAGTACCCCTTGGTAATTATAGCTTGGGTGTAATTAGCTTCCTACGGAATCGGGAGTGTACCAATCTCCATAGAAGGGAGCGTACTCAGTACTCCCCTGCCTCTTTTGGTGTGAGAGGAGTGACTTCCGGCCTTCGCGTATGCTGTGTGCAAAGAGGTTATAAATATAACTAGAGGCCTTAGCTGTGACGTCACGGGTGTCAACCTTGTGGGGCGCGCCGCCATTTTGAGACAATAACGAATTAATATATTTAAATTATTAACCCAGTCTTAACCCCCTACATACTCTATGAAGAGTAAGGCTTTGCCTCTGTAGAAGGGAAGTGTAGATAATATGATATAAAAGTAATCCATTTTGTAAGTATGAAAATGTACTTTTTCTTACAAACTCAATTATTACTCAGTTTGGCTCCCTCCACCCCTCCCCCACCCCTCCCGGGAAAACAAACAATACCTCATATTAATTATTTTATCTCTCTGTTCATTTGTAGCCTGCATTTAAGTGCATTTATGTTTCCTAGAATCGGTCAGTACGTGCGGCATTGTGTATGCGCGTATGTTATATAATTAAACAACAACAGCAAAGAAAAAGAAAACTTTATATAAAAAAGAATTGAGCTTCAAACTCTTTGAAGACCTAGGCTTTGCGTGGGATGCGCAGCGACAGCGCTGTTTCTAATCCTCTCAAAAATGGTGACAAAACGAGCTGAGTGGGTCCGCACAGCCATAGTGAGTTTACGTGGGTGACGTCACAGCTGCAACCTCTAATACTATTATAACCTCTTTGGTTGTGTGTTACAACATCTGAACGCCCCCGTCAGAAAGCCAAAATCAGATCATAAAGGGGGTATGCGGTTTTGATCATGCTTGTCTAGGCCAACCCACTTTGTATGGGGTACACCTGTGAAGAAAGATTGGGAATTTTGGGGAGAGATGTATACCCTTGAATAAAAATCTGACTCACGTCGTATCGTTACACTGAAGACGCCAGTCTTCCAGGGCGTGTGTCGTTAGCTCAAACTTGTGTGCATGAGATGGCAGTATTTGGTATACTACAATATCATTTACTTTCATTTCCACTCCCACTCCCTTTCATCATGCCTTCTTTTTTGACGTGCGCATGAGATTGCAATATTTGGTACACTATGATATCGTTTACTCAGATATCCACTTCCATTCCCCATCATTAAGCTTCCTTTTTTGACGAGCAGAAAAGGGATGGGGAATAGGGCGGTGGCGTGAATGTATATTTTGTCCGTGGGTATTATGTATAAGTGTGTGTATGTGTGTGTGTGCATGTGTGTGTGTGTGTGTGTGTGTGTGTGTGTATGTGAGTGTGTGCGTGTTTGTGTGTTAGAGAGAGAGAGAATGG